GATTTTGATAACATGACAGTATCGGCCTGCATTATCGCCCAAAATGACATGTAAAATACAACAAACAAACTTGTCAGAAATCTTACCTCTGCCTTGTGGCTCGGCTCAAACATGGATTAGAAGTCCCATGGTCATTTCAGTATAATATTTGAGTAATATTTTCATATATACTTATATCTGGCTATAATAAACTTTATCAGTTTATCACATAATTTTTTCAACAGTATTTAAATGACATTTCAATGTTAGAATTTTCCTGAAAGTCTGAAAATTTTAGCATATGAGCCAAACAGATCGGAAATAATTTCAATTTAATTCACTTCTTCATGAATAATTATTTTTGCATCATAATATTAATAGTCCCAGACAAGCTGCCAATACATATAATCCAGGTGCCAAGAGGGATCACCCACTCTCTCCTGACTATATTCCTACTGTATTTTTTCACATCAAGACACCCCAGAAGAGACGAGCAGCGAAGAATATGGCCAAATTTCATTCACGCCAGGCAATGAAAAAAAAAAAGGAAGTCGTGAGGGGTGAATTCTGGTAGCGATGGGGCTGCGCCTCTCACGAAGTTGGAAAATAATCCGCCTGGTAAAATGTACGGATCCTTTTACAAAGCTTCAGCTGCTGCAGGTATGTTGTCGATGTTATCCCTGCAGATGCTTCACATCCTCAGATCATCTCAGTGACAAAGTATCTGGTATTATTTATCGCACTTTTTACTCTGTTGAGTTGATCTGACACGTGGTATATCACGGTATTGTAGACTCTAGCGTGACGTCCAAAATGATAGACAAGCATGCATCGCGTGATTTTGGTCACGTCTCTGCAAAACCTCAATCCGGTGTACGGCTTGCAAAAATTCCACGCGCGTTTAGAACAGCCGCAGTCAATGGGTTAAGTAAAACCGAATATACTAATAAAGTAAAAATACACTTTAGATCATGAAACTAAACTTTAAATTAAAATTAAAGCAGAAAACTTGTTGACAGAAGATGAATATACATTAAGACTATCAGGTTTTTATTCTGGTATTATGTAGAAAATTCCCGAGGATCATGGCGAAGGTTATCCTGTTAGGCTTATCTTGCATAACCTTGGATCTTCAGTGGTAAGTTTGCGGACTTACAAAACTAAAATTCTGGGTTCGATTCTCCGTGGTGGACAGAATGTAAATAGCTTATTAAATTATGTAATCGTGAATACACCGATTGTCTAGTAAATTTTTGGAAACCATTAAATTGTAAGGAACGCATTATTAAGGACAGTTTATATTTTCTCAAGAAATACAAGATCTGAATTTTGTTAGTAAGTTTTACTGTGTTAGTTTGGATATAAAGTTTCTATATGCCAACATTCCGATAGCTAAAACAATAAATTTGTATACAGGACTTTTATATCAAAATTAAAATACTGATATGATATTTCGTAAGTTAATTTTTCAGAAACTGATGAATATTGCCATCAAAAAGTCCCAATTTCAAATAGACAGTTATGTGAATAATGGCCTGGCATAGCCAGGTGGTTAGGGTGCTCTACTCGCAATCTGGGGGTTGCGGGTTCGAATCACCTTTCCACCAAACATGCTCGCCCTTTCAGCCGTGAGGGCGTTATAAAGTGACGGTTAATCTCACTATTCGTTGGTAAAAGAGTAGCCC